GTGCAATGCGCGAAATCATATGAGGTCGTTCGGCCATATGACGTCGGTAGATTACATTAGATCACGCAGGAGGGAAGGCTGTCACCTTATAAAGGTTGTGACCAAAAATTATGTAAATAGAAGAACAATATATATTTTAAATTTAATTAAAAAAAATCTTTACACGCGTGGTATGCGCGACATCATATGATGTCGTTCTTAAATTTGTCCTTACTTTTAACGTCATATGACGTCCCTAGATTACATTAGATCATGCAGGAATGAAGGCTGTCTCCTTATAAAGGTGGTGACCAAAAATCATGTAAATAGAACAACAATTTATATTTTTAATATAATATTAAAAAAAAACCTTACACGCGTGGAATCCGCGACATCATATGATGACGTTCGGCCAGCTGCCCTAACTTTTAACGACATCATATGATGACGTTCGTCCGATAAAGGTTAAACACAGTTTGGATCAAGAAAAGGAAATATCTTCTCTAAATCCTTATGGCTGCTCAGTTAAATGAATGATTTAAGAAGTACAGATGCAACTTGAAACACCTGCTACTAGTTTTCGTTACATTACATACCTTAATTGGTCGGATCATATCAGGCTGCTTCCATCTTAACCACAGAATACCACTGACTGACAGCATGATGAACACTGACTCAACAATACTTGAGTATGTAATGAGCAAATAGATGTCACTGGTACTCAGCATCACCAGTGACAATATATTCTGCAAAGAGATCACCACACAACAAATACAGTCAATGACTTCTTTACATTTATTTACTCTGACAGAAACTCATATATTGTGGATATATTAATCAACAGCCAGGTGAATATCCTATTGTTCTTGCTTCTAAAACACTGGATTCAAATACTGGACCCATCATTTTTCTTAAATTTTCCCTCTGATCAGAGTTATATTCAAGAATTACATTTGGCAAAACCTCATGTCTGTGCCCGCCATCATAATTTGAGTTGTCTACCATTGTAACATATGCTGCAAACAATTTCAGAGAATAACATACTGAAAATTTTTAAATATAAACAGTTAAGAATCTTGAATACACCTATTATATGTCAAAAAGTAATTACATTATATATCACTGTTCATTGTGACTGTGTATCATTCCTGCTTCTGAAAGTCCACATCCCAGCCCAAAGGCCAGTTATCATGCATGATGATACCAGTGGTTTATCAGAGCCTAGCCAGGAAAATAACAGTGCCTCATATTAGGACACAATCACTTCCGTATCGCTCTTCTTTAAACATCCTGTCATGCAACATCACATACATAATGTGAACAGCTGAAATCATCTTTAAATAAGAAAGGAATGAGATAATAACTATTAGGTAACATAAGCCTGCTGAGATTCAATAGGGAATCTTCTTTCATAACTTAACCTTTCACCTCATTTTTTTCCCTTTTATACCTTTATATTATTCCTTCATCACTGGATCTAGCCCCCAATGACCTTTTCTGTTCCTGAAGATAGAGGAAATAATGAAATGGCATTTTGAAGACACTGATGACATCAAGAGCAATACGATGGCAGCTCTGAAGGCCATTCCACAAAGCCAGTTCCAAAATTGTTTTGAAGGGTGGACTAGGTGCTGGCATCAGTGTATAGCTTCCAAAGGGGACTACTTTTGAAGGAGACTACAGTGATATTCAGCAATGAGGTATACAGCACTTTTACTGCGATAAGTTTGCGAATTTTATTGTCAGACCACATATATGTGAAACAGAAATTAAGTGAAGGAAAATATCATGTATATTATTCACAAATAAAACCAATACTCCTGGCAGGGCTCACACTAACATAGGGCAGCTTCTGTTTTGCTCTTTTCCTTTCATAATATTTCAAGGCCACTTCTTCAGTTTGTGAAGTAAGGATGTCATGAAATACAGCATCAATATTATAGGTAATGGCATGATCACAGTAACAAATACCATGACAATAGCTGCATACAGAATATTTTTGTGTGTGATAAAAATATACATGCGAGCATACAACTGCCAATCTCAGTGGCTGTGCAGTTTAAGGAATGAACTGTCTTCGCTCACTCAAATCCCTCTCAAGGCATGGATGTCTGCGTGTGGGTTTATTCTGTGTTCATGTTGTCCTGTGTATAGGCAGTGGCCCTGTGATGGGCTGATCACTCATCCAAGGAATCCTACCGCCTGTGTAAAAAAGATTTTGAATCTGAAGAAGAGGCCAGGACCCAACAAAGGGCTGCAGAGCCATTGATGAATGAATGAATGAGTGAATGAATGAACGAATATTCACATAATTATAGAATGTAAAATATACTTCAAGGAATTAATTCACAAAAAAATTTTGTCTGTATAACACATACAGATACAACTACTTTAACCGTTCAGCGTGGTTTGACGTGTATGTTTCGTCAAGGTATTTAAATCGTCTGCGGGGGTTCGACGTCTATGTTTCGTCCAGCTGCACACCTATGTTATAACGCCCATAATAATTGTTGGTTTTGCTGTAGATTGTTAGATTTTTCGCTGGCCTGTTGTCTGAAGAACTATATATAATGATTCATGAGTTTAGCTGCGTTAAGTCGTTACATATGCCTGTCTTGCAGCAAAATCGTGTTGCTTCTGGTAGCGGTTTCCTCATTCAAACTGTTATGAATGGCGTGTTTTCTTTCCTATGAAGTTATAAACAGCAGAGACGTGATATGTGCTGTGTTTATAATATCACATTGCCCCAAGCTGGCCACACTAACACACTCAATTGGTATTCTTAGAAGAGGGATGTCCAAATTTTATTCTTGCAAGATCGATTGATTTCGCACAGTAAATAGCAGCCAGTTCTTAGAAAAACGCCACAAATTAAGGCAGAACACTGTGGTCACCCCCTGTGACGATACGGGTGTGTGTGGGGGAGGGAAAAGAACTCATTCCTTCATGTATTATCGCTCCAGTTGACTCCATTTTATCGTACTGACCTTGGTGGTCGTTTCGAGGGATGACCATAAATATTTTTTTGAGCCAGCTAAGCTCTGCTTTCGTTCACTACATACCAGCCAGTTCTTAGAATAACTTCATGAATTCTGTGGTCACCCCTACGACGTCTTATGCCGCCAAAATGGATGGAAAATGAAACGCAGAAGCACCAACACTTGTTANATATTATAAGGCAAGGTTATAAAACCATCTTTTAAGATCATTTTAGTGAAAGTTTCATGCTTCAAGGCGTACGATACACTGCTCAAATTCTAAACCAACTGCTTCCATTGCCGAGATACCGGGCGCTCATATTATAAGGTAAGGTTATAAAACCACCTTTTAAGATCATTTTAGTGAAGTTTCATGTTCCTATCTCATATAATTTAAGAACAATGATGAATAAATCATTTTCGAGCAAAATTTAAATGGTCGGCTGAATATATTACCGCCGGAGAGACACAGCAGCGGAATTTAAATGACTGCGCAAAAGGGTTAAGAAGGGTTTTCTTCCAGAAACCAGACTAAAAATGAGTAACAACGGAGACTGTGGCCAACAGAATGTGAACAACAGTACATCTGTTACTAGTGAAAAACCATAACAAATAATTTGCACTTTAAAAAACTGCATGTGTTAAATATGCCAATTAAGCAACAATAAGAAGTAATGAATGTGTTAATAAATCACCCATTAAGGTACAGAAATTCTTCTAGGAATCAAGATACTTAACAGGTTAAAATCCCTGAACTCGACTGTTAGTAAGCAACCATCCCACCCAGACAGAAACAAGATATTATGCAGAAATTTTGTGAGGAGCTTGGTATGATACACAAGGCCCTTATCAACATAGTGAAATCCCTGGCTGGAACCCAAACTAGGAATCTGAGTGCTAGTCACTGAACATCTGGGAACCAGTTGTGTGTTTCCACATGGGGTGTGGAAGAGAATGACAAAAATGTGAAAACATTCAAGAATGGGAGCAATATTTGTTGTTAATTTCAATGGAACCCCAAAAATAAATGTCTCAAAAACGAATTACAAAATCAAGCACACACCGGTAAAATTTCAGTTCCACTGATACTGTAAACTAGAACAAAGTGTTACGTATATTCTATTTTTGAAGGCAGTTCCATCTGAATCCGGGGGAGGGGGGGTATTTTCTATTATGAGGCTACATACCAGAAATACTAATGCTGGAGTTGGTGTAAATCTCTTGATGTTGATATGAGAAAGCATGGCTGGAAAGTGACCATACCTTGCTCCAACAAAGCACATTCTGCAAACAAAAATGTCAAAGGCATATAGCATACAGTCCATCATAATTACTGCCTATAATTAAGACTACATGAGTCATTTTCACATAACCTAGCATTACAATAAGAGTACCATCAAAATGCTCATAGCAAGTTTTCCAGCAGTTTTATTTTTTATTTCAATATATCCAATGCACATGAAGAGTTCTATCTTCTGAGACTTAATGCTACATAGTCTGGAAAAGTCAAGCT